GGCTGCAGAAAGGCCCCAAACCACGAAAAACGATGCAAAAAAACGCCACAAAGAGACGACAACAGACCAAAGGAGCTACCAGAAAAAACCTGAAACCAACACAAAGATGCAAAACAACCACGAAAACAAAAGGATGGAGAAAAAAACCCATGAAACTGACTGTAAATAAACGTGCCATGAAAAATGACAAAGAAACTCAAACCCAGCTCTAAAAAAATCAACTGAGATGAATTCAAGAAGATATAAAACTCCTGAAGAAAGATGATATAAGGCAAAAAAAAGACACAAAACGGCAACAAATACACACAAAATCACCACAAACGAACTCACACCAGCTGCAAAAAGGCCTCAAACCACGAAAAACGATGCAAAAAACCAGATGGATGTCAAGAGACAAGAAAAAAGAGAAAAAAAACTGAAACCAACACAAAGATGCACACAGAAAACACACAACCCCAAAAGGATGACAAAAAAAAACATGAAATGACAAAGAAACTCAAACCCAGCTCTAAAAAAATCAACTGAGATGAATTCAAGAAGATGCAAAACTAAAAGAAATTTAAAAACTCCTGAAAAAAGGAAATATAAAAAAAAAAAAAAAAAAAAAAGGCAAAAAAAAAACAAAAAAACAACAAAAAACAAACCAAAAACGCCGCAAAAAAAACCCAAAACAAGAAAAAACAAGCAAAAAAACCCAAGAAAAAAACAAAAAAAAACAAAAAAAGTAACAAAAAAAAAACAAACCAACAAAAAGATGCAAAACAACAACAAAAAACCCACAACCGCCAAACGGATGGAAAAAAAACCCACAAAACTGACGACAACTAAATGTGACATGATGACAAATGACAAAGAAAGTCCAAACCACCTCTAAAAAACCAACAGAAATGATGCAAAACTCCTGACGAGAGGCGACATAAAGACAAAAAAAAGACTAAATCAGCACAAAGACGCTGCAGAAAGACCGACGGAGGGAAAACTACCATGAAAAGAGGAAAAATAATCACAGAATAAACAGAAAAACGGCTGCAAAGAAGCTCCATCAATCAATCAAACACTAATAATCCATCAATCAGGAAACTGCACGAATCGAGGCGTTTGATTGGCTGCAGGGAGTGAAGCCGCTTCACATAAATCAATAAGAAGTGTGTGAAGGAGGCGGAGCTGAAAGGTCACCTGAGTCAGACAGGTGAGGCTCAGACAGAAGCTCTGGATTCATCCGCCGCTGAAAGTAGTTCCCCGACAACAGACCCTGAACCCAGAAACGGATCAATCAGGTGATGAAACGTCCAGAACTGAAGGCAGCAGCTTCAGAAATGTTCAGATTGAACTGATGTCTGACCAAGAAAAGCAGCAAATCTGCAAATATTTGGCTTTTTTTATTTATTATTTTCACTTGAAAGGTGACTAAAAGTGAATAGCTGATGAATGATGTGACTCTAAATCCACCTGACTGTCTGTCAAACCAAAGCTCAGAAATTCTAAAGTATTCAGTTTATAGACGTTTATAAAAGACTTTTCTTTCGTCAGACGCTGAAACCTGAAACTGAAGCCGTCGATCAGAAAACTGAGCTGAAGGTGAAAAGTTTGGTTTCACTAAAAAAAAAACAAATATTCAGATTAAACTGAGAACATTTAGAATAATTCAGCAGCGACTGAATGAACAACCGACGAGTCCTTCAGCCTTTCAAACATCAACGAAGCAAAAACAATCAATAAATTAATTAAATTCATTTGTGCTCAAACATCTTCGGTTTACAGACTTTTGTCGAAGCAAAGCAGCAGATTTCCTCCTTCAGCTGCGTTTTGGTTTGAATTCGGTTTGAGGAGTCGAGTCGTTGATGAGAAACAGCAGAAGATGTTTTTCACTTTTCAAAAGTCTCGTTTTGTTTGAGCACGAATCCAGAAAATCCTGAAACATTCAGCTGATCTCTGACAAAGGACGGCAGCAAATATCGGGCTGTTTTTCACGAGACTGAAAGAATAATTTGATTTTTTTATTTTAAAAGCCAAAATGTCTACAAGTCATTTCTTAAAAACTCCAAAAACGCTGAAATCTTCAGATGTTTGTCACAGAAAAACTACAAATATTTGACTTCATTGATCATTTCTGCTTTAAAGTGACTGAAGTCGCTGATTAATGATCCTGAAAAACACATTTCATAGTTTCCAGAAATATTTCTTTGTCTAAAAATCCTCAAATCTTCACGTTGGAGACGCTGAAACGTCTCAGATTTGCTTAAAGACAGACAGAAGCTATGAATCAGGTCTGAAATCCAACATTTTCAGACAAACATGTGGACGTTTTCTAAAAGAAAGAACAGAACTCAGCGTTTAAATGAGGTTAAACTGTCTGAGCTGTGAGCTTCTGGACGGGTTCCTCTGCTGCTCCGAGGCGTCGACAGCGAGCTGCTCTCCTGCTTGATTTCTCGTTTCTCCTTCGTTTGGATCAGTTTGAGTCTCACTGAAGGAGCAGCGAACATAAAATCAACCATAAAGTCAGAATGAGAGCGTTGCTGTGAAACATCTGTGTGAGGCGAACATCTGGGCAGCTCCACGTCCAGGAAACATCTCCACAGGTTTAACTTACAGAAACTGTCTCGTGCCTTTATTTGATTTTATTTGTATTTCACTGAGGTTTTTAAATTGATTCATACAATTAATTTATTATTTTATTAGTTGTTTTAATAAACATTAATTAATTCTGTATTGTTTTCCTTTTGTCTAAATGTTGAGTTGCTTTTCTTACAAAACGTTTTTGTTTTTTCTGCAGTAATAATAATTAAATTAATGATGCTCATAAATGTTTTGTTTTCTAATTTTCTAAATCTGTTTATTTTTTTTTGTCTTTTTTCTTTTCTCATTTTTGGGCTTCAGGAAATAATCCTCACCTGTTCGCTCCGTCTGTCGCCACAGTTTTAATCCTATTAGTCTTTTAAAACACTAAATGTATGAATTTATTATCACCTCACATATTTTCTAAAACCTTTCCAGACTTGTGTTCGTTTATGTTAATTATGTAAATAAGTTTTGGTTTGTTTTTTTTTGTCTGTTTGGCCTCTTTTTTATTTATTTTATTTTATTTCAAACCAACAATACACTGATTTAATTTGTTTTATTTGATTTTATTTTAATGCAAATAGTTAAATATCACCAAACCTGTCGGGTTTTTATTGTTGGCTTGGGTTTTGTTGACTTTTTGTTAATTAAATAAATTATTGGATTTGATCTTATTATAGTTCTGTTCTAATTTTTGTTTTGTTTTATTATTATTATTATTATTATTGTTTTAAATACGACATTTTCTAATCTTCCTTTAATTTGTTAAGTTCTTTTCTCTTCATTCTTTTTTTTTTTTTATCTGAATTTCTGTTCTGGAAACAAAACAACATATTTAGATTTTCTTTTTCTTTTCCTAAAGTCACACACATTATTGACTTTATTTTATTTTATTCTGAATGTTTTCACTTCCTGGTCATCGATCAAACCTGCAGCTTCCAATAACTAATCGATAATCAGTATCGGCTCTGAAACCTGCTGCTGCGCCTGAAGCAGCAAAGATTCTCCGTCAGATCAGTTTTACTTAAAGTTTAAAAACGGAGTGAAAATGTTCAGACAGAAAAAAAAACGAACTGAGCTCAAAATGTTTGAAATTAACAAAATAAATAAAAACTAAAGTTTCGTTTTGTTTTCGACACAAAACGTTTAAATTAATGCTTCGTTTCGCTTTAACAAGAAAAAAACCCAGAAATCTGTGAAATATTTCGATAATCTGACACGAAAACTGGTTTAGTTTCACAGCAGCAGGAGGGTTCATGATGAGAAATATCAGACAGAAAGTCAGAAAACATCAGAAAACATCCGCTGAACAAAGTTCTTCTCAGCAGGAAGGAGAAGATTCAAAAGTCCCTCAACAGAAAATAAGAAATGAGATTTTTTTTAAACTCGATTTTTAGCTCAAAGTATCTCAGATTCAGCAAATAATGAAAAAAAAAAGCTGCAAAGAAAAGAAGAAAAAAAGAAATCCGCTGCGAATAAATGAATATTTCTCACATTAAAGCAGAAAAAATCAAACCTGCAGAAACAAACTGAGCAGAAAACATCAGATTTAAAATGTGTCCGAGACTCACGATCTGCAAGAAAAACGAAATAAAAACCAGAAAATAACCCTGAGAAGGTGGTTCAAGACCCGCGAATGTCGAACAGATTAATAATTAATAATAGAAAAGAACAGAGAATAAAACGCTTCATCTCAAATTAGTAAAAAAAAAAAAAATAAGAAACTCAACACAAAGAAAAATGAGTTGGTTTGTTCAATAAATTCTGTTGTTTTTCCTGCAACACACACTTTATTTTCTAAACGTGTGTGAAGTCAACAAATAAAATCATTAAACAGCTCAGTGTGCTGCAAAAACCCCCCAATAATTATAACCCGGTTTCTAAAGAAAAATGTGGTTTTTAAATGCAGTGAATTCAACACAGCTCGTCGTATTTTAAACGTGTGTGATTGTGCAGGAATAATAAAAATAAAACTATAAAACAGCTCCAGGAGCAGAACCGCTGCTGAAAAACAGAGAAACAACTGAAATAAATAAAATAAACTGCTGTTTCTGAGCGCCATAAATCCCCTCCTGGTGGTTCTGCTCGTTTCTCGTTGTCTGTGTGTGAAGGTGGCTGAGACGAACCGAACTGTTCTGGACACCAGAGCAGCTGCTGGACGGTTCTCTGGTTCCTGAAACAAATGCTTCTTATTTTAAACTGTTGGAAACGAAACCAGCGGCTGCAAAACTCTAAAAACAACCACACGGGAGGAAAAATCGGATTTTTCGTGAAATAAAACTCCTGATTTTATTTCTGCAACACGCGCGCAAACCCGGAGGCCAGAAACGGGAAAGTAACGCAAAGAAAAGGCGCAAAAACAACCCAGAGGGGGGGAGCTGAGGAGCAGCCAAGAGGCGCAGCTCCGGCCGCTCGGCTGCAGCTCCGCGGCTCCGGCTCACCTTGGAAGCGGTGTCCCAGGTAGCGGCTCCGCAGCACCCACGGGTAGAAGCTCAGCGCGTCCCGGTGCTGCGGGCTGAAGAAGCTCTGCGGAGGGATCTGCAGCGGGTGCAGCGGCAGCCCGCCGGGGCCCTGCGTGTGCGTCCCGGGCTCCTGCAGCACCATGTCGGGCCCCGCAGAGAACAGAGTCCGTCCGCTGCCGCCCTGGAAGCCGAACACCCCGGCGGCAGCGGCGGCGGCGGCGGCGGCGGCTGAAGGGTGCAGGGACTCCGGGAAGCGCAGCGCCGTGGGCCGGATGGGCTCGTCCCCGGAGCCGCTCGCCTCCTTCCCGACCAGAGACTCGATGGTGAAGCACTTCTTGCTGCTGCTGTGCTGGAACATCGTCGGAGCTGCGCGGACACAAGTCGGTGGAGACGTGAACAGATCGGCGTCCGGGGAGTCCAGCTGCTCGGACTGGGGCGGCTCAGGCTCCCAGTGTTCCCATTATAGTCTCCCCGCCGGTGCGTAACAGCCGTGCGCAATCCTGATCGGTGCACCTGGCGGCGGCTGGGCTTGCCTCACCTGTCCGGGGCGGCGCCGCTGCTGCTGCTGCTGCTGCTGCTGCGGGTAAAAACTCCCAGAGAGGCTCCGGGCGGAGCCGCCGGTCCTCCGAGCTGCGGCCGGGTGAGAGCGGAGCGCGGCGGGGCTGCGGGCTGCTGTCAGTCGGTGTCTCGTCCCGCGTCCTGCCGCCTCATGCTGCACTGCGAGTGTGTGTCGGTCCGCGCGCTGCCCGCACATACCTGCCCTGCCCTCCCTGCCAGAGGTGCGCTGAGCATGCGCACAGGCGGCCGCTCCCACAGCCATTTTGTGGCTGGAGGAGGAGGGTGAGAGGTGAGGATGATGATGAGTGACAGGGATGAAGAGGATGAAGAGGATGAAGAACAAACAGCAGTTTCACGTTTTTACTCAACAAACAGAGAAAATCCATCAAAGTGCTTCAGCTCAGGTTGTTAAAATAAAACCAGTGAAAGCTTCCAAACATGCAGATCAGCGCGTTGTGTGTCTGTTTGTGGTGGTTTTGTGTGTCTGTGTCATCATTGTGTGTCTTTGTGGTGGTTTTGTGTGTCTGTGTCATCATCGTGTGTCTTTGTGGTGGTTTCTTGCCTCCTTGTCGTTCGTTTGCATCACCTCTCAGTTGTGTTGTTTTGAATCCGTTTTTAGTTTGTTTTGTGGTAAATATTTGTGTCTGTTTTGTGTCTTTTCTAGTTGTTGTGACTCTTTGTGTGTCTCTGTGTCATCATTGTGTGTCTTTGTGGAGGTTTTGCGTCAGTTTTTAGTTGTTTTGTGTCTCGTTTTTGTCAACTTGTGTGTCTGTTTGTTTCGGCCTCTTGTTTGTTGTTGTCTGTCTCTTTGTTTTCCTTTATTGTCTCTTTGCGGTTACCTTTGAGTCGGTTGTGGTTTGTTTTGTCTCTAATTGTCACCATTTGTCTGTTTTGTGTCTTTTCTACTTGTTCCGACTCGTTTGTGTGTCTCTGTGTCATCGTTGTGCGTCGCTTTCTGTCTCTTTGTGGTTGTTTTTTCCTGTTTGTCGTCGTTTTGTGTTATTTTTTATTTGTCTGATGTTTTTGCTGTTAGTTTGCGTCTTTCACCGTGTCCTATGTGTGTCTACATTCTGTCGTCTTGTGTCCCGTTGTGTTCGTTTTGTGTCTCCATGTTGTCGTCTCGCTGCTCTTGGTCTGAACTTTGAGTTTTTAGTTGTTTCTTGTTTGTTTTTTTGCTAAATTTGAGTCTCTTCTGGTTGTTTTGTGTGTTTTTGTCGTCCTTTGTGTGACTTTGTGTGTGTTTTGACTCCTGACCTGTGTGGACCTTTGGTCCGCTGATCGATTCATTGATTGAATTTTGAATTTCTGAAGTTTCTCCTCCGTCTGCAGGAAGTGGATTTAAACGAATGTGTCTCTTTGTGTCGTTTTGTGTGTCTTTGTGATCGTTTTTAGTCTCTTTGTGGTTGTTTTGTGTTGCTTTATGGTAGTTTTTTGCATATTTGATCAGATTTGTGATCGTTTTTAGTCTCTTTGTGGTTGTTTTGTGTTGCTTTATGGTAGTTTTTTGCATATTTGATCAGAGTTTTTTGTTTCTGTTTGGTTGTTTGTTGTGTCTGTGGTTGTTTTTGTGAGTCTTTGCTGTAATTTTGTGTCTTTGTGATCGTTTTTAATGTCTTTGTTGTTGTTTTTAGTGTCTCTGTTGTGTCATTTTTGTGCGTCTCTGGTAATTTTGTATGTATTTTTGGTCATTTTGTGTCTGTTTGTGGTTGTTTTTGTGCGTCTTTGCAGTGATTTTGTGTTTATTTATCCTAATTTTGTGCATATTTGGACTTTTTTTTGTTTCTGTTTGGTTGTTTGTTGTGTCTTTGTGGTCATTTTGTGTGTTTGTGGTTGTTTTAAGTGTGTCTGTGGTCATTCTGTGTCTCCGAGGTTGTTTCCAACGTCCTCGAAGTAGTTTTGTGCGTCTTTGTGGATGTTTTTAGTGTCTTTTATATCTCATACAGCAGTTCTTATAAACCTGTGATGTCAATTATTTGTAGATTTAAAGCTGCATTTGTAGGAAACAGACTTTAATTTTTGTTATTTATCGACTTGTTTCGCTCGTAGACAAACGACACGCTGGATGTCATGGTCACACAACGACAAAGGTCATGTTGTGCATATTTGGTCTCATTTTTTTGGTTTCTGTTTGGTTGTTGTTTTGTGTCTGTGGTTGTTTTTGAGTGTTTGTAGTAACTTTGTGTCTGTTTGTGGCTGTTTCTCGTGTCTTTGTGGTTGTTTTGTGTTGCTTTATAGTAATTTTGTGCACATTTGGTCATATTTTTTGTTTCTGTTTGGTTGTTTGTTGCGTCTTTCGGGTTGTTTTTGTGAGTCTTTGTGCTCATTACGTGTCTTTGTGGTTGTTTTGTGTGTATTTGTGGTAACTTTGAGCGTCAGCAGCTGTTCTCGTGTCTTATTGTCCACAGAACAGCGACTCCTCTGCAGTAGTTCTGTGGGCCGCTCATAATCCAGAGCTGCTGTAAACTCACCGCTGGCTGCAGGTTACAGCAGAAAGTCAAAGTGTTTCTTCCACAGAAGCGTCTAAAGCCGCTCCGTGTCCTCGTCGGCCTCCGTCCGGACGTCGTCTCCGACCCTCGCGGCCCGGACTCGGCTCTTCCTCTGCAGCTTTGGGACCTGGAGGACAAATGCCAGCCCATTCAGGAGCCTCTAATTGTGGCCCTGGAAGCCCCACAAAGGCCCCCTGCCTCGGCCCTGAATGAGCCGCCCTGCAGAGGCCCGTGTGAACCGCGGAGCTCCATCCTGCCTCAGTATGTCGGCCTCCGCCTCCCGCCGCCCCCCCACCCGCTCCACATGTTAATTAATAGGCCTTACTGGCAGATCTGGATCCCGCTCGGCTTTGATTGAAGGCGGCCATTAGCATCTATTAATTTTGCCTCTGGCGTTTTATCGCCGGCTCTGAAAGGGGGAATTAAGTGGTGTGAGTCATTGTGAGGCTGAGTTAAAGTGTGATTATTGTGGCGCGGCCCGGAGCCAGCTAACTGCTGCTAAGCCCTCTTGAAAGTGAAGGGGCGCCTCCTCTCATTAGAGCCCAACAACGGGAAGATATTAACAGGAAATAACTGCAAATTTCTTTTCTCCACTTTTAATCTCGCCTCTTTATGTGAAAGGGGCACTTAAAAATGAAAAAGCAGGAGGGGGTGCGTGGAGCGTCGAGGCCAAACAGCGACAGTGATGATACAGTAGTCCGGCCGGTGGACGTCACTTCTGCGTCGGCGGCGTTTAATTGGGCGAAGAGGAGCAGCTGGAGGTCGGACGTGGCTGCAGGAAGCAGCAAAGCGCTCAGAGTTACCGAAAAACCGCAGCCGCAACAGATGACGTGAACATTGATGAGTCAAGTAAAATCGGAGACACGCTCTGGTAAAGTCTGAGAGAAATTGATTAAAAAAATAATAATAATTAAAAAATCTGAGAAAAATTGGTAAAAATCTGAGACTCAGAAACATAACATACAAAATCTGAGAGAAATTGGTAAAAAAAAAATATATCTATATTTTTTTAAATTGTGAAAAATTGGTAAATAAAAAAAAATAAAATTAAAAAAATATTAGAATAATTGGTAAAAATAAATAAATAAATAAATAAAAATCTGAGAAAATTTGGTAAAAAGAATTAAATAAAAATAAAAATTTTTAAAAATCTGAGAAAAATTGGTAAAAAAAATTAAATAAAAAAATCGAAAAAAATGGTTAAAAAAATAAATAAATCGGAGAAAAATTGGTAAAACAAAAATAAATAAAAATGTTAAAATCTGAGAAAAATTGGTAGAAAATAAAATAAAAACATTTTTAAAAATCTGAGAAAAATGAATTGTTATTGATAAAAGAAACACATCAGGCACAAATTGCTAAAAATACAATAAAATAAAATAAAAAAAACGAATCTGAGGCAGTGTTTGGTAAAAATCTTGGTAAGAATTTGTGGCACAAATTGGTGAAATTTTGATGCACAGACGGTTAAAAGTCTGATCAAAAACCTGATGCATAGATGAACCCTCTAATACAGGAACGTCTAACTGTCCTGGAAAATGACTGCCTCAGACTGAATCCTGTCTACAGATGGTTCTGGTGGGTTCTGGAGGTAAAACGGTCCTTCCATCATCTACAACTGGTTCTGACCAACCACCATCACACATGCTGACATGAGCCTTGAACGTTTACCCAGAATGCACTTTGTAGAGTTTTCTCTGGTGAATGATCAGAACCAGAACCACATCTGTTTGTGTCCAACTCGTTCCAAAATGTCTCCAAATTTGTTCAGAACGATACAAAAAAACGTTTAAAAACCTCAAACGTGTTCAGTATTTTTAAAAATTTGCCAAACTGACAAAATCCAGACGACAATCTGTCAAAAAAATACAAAAAATGACCAAAACATTGGTTAAAAATGTTCACAGTGACTAAAGATTTCTCCAAAACGAACCCAAATATGTTGAAAATGACATGAAATCTGTTCAGTAACTCAAACATGAGACTCCTGGATGGATGTAGAACTGATCTGGTGTCAGGTTCTAGCAGAACCCAGATGTGTTCTTCCTCCTAAATGTCATGTGTCTATCTGCTGTACTGATGAAGTTCTGAGGCTCAGAAATGATGGAAAAAGTCCATTACGGTGATCAATCTGGAGCCTCCTCTGTGGACTTCAAGGACCTGGACCTCTGGAACATTCACAGTCTGAAGGTAGAACTCTGGTCAGTAGATGAAGGTTCTGCAGATACAGAACCAGTTGATTGTGAGGAAACTTTCTCACATATGGTTGATATAAAATGAGCGTCCTGGTTTCAGTAAATGTCCTTGTTTTAGCTCCAGCAGCCGTTCTTCGTCTCCTCTGGGCTTCAGGTG